ACACTCACTCACTCACTCACTCACTCACTCACACACACACACACACACACACACTCACTCACTCACTCACTCACTCACTCACTCATATACATACTAGTGCTGTCAAAATTAGCGAATTAACGTAGGCGATTAATTTTTTCTGTTTAACGCGTTAAAAATATTTAACGCAATTAATGCAGGGGTGGGGCTAGGGTTGGCCACCCCACTCACAACTGCTGTTTCTGTCATTTTTCCCCTGGCAAGAAGTGCATTTATTCAGTCGCAGAACGTCTTTACGAGCACATCAAACCGGAGTGTTTCAGACGCGCGCTCCACTTCCCTTCAGCGGCAGCGCGAGTCAAGCGAGCGCGGAAACGGTACTGTGCTCGCAGCACGTGCTCTTCTTCAATTGCACGCACAAAGGTGCCGGCGCGCGCTGTAGCCTGTATCTTTTCATATCAATTCACAAATTATTTAATTTAGAATTTAGTGTTTGATAACTTCAATTTCAGTTTCTGTAGGCTATATTTATGCTGAAGGGCACAGGTAAATATGACATTTATTATAATGGGTATAATTAAGTTCACTTAAATTAGAAGTTATTTTTTTAAAGTCTAATAAATGTAAAAATTGATAGCTCTCAATTATACTGTAATGTTGAATATCTGTAGTCAATGGCTAGATATTAGGGGGAAAAACAATTTTATAGACATCAGTAGTATTGGTATCATATGGTATGATATTGGCCTTCAGTCATAAATAAAAGATGTCATTAAACAAATATTAAAAAATATACTGCTTTTATGTTGTTTCTACATTAATTTGAAAATTAAATGTGAAATTATTGCAATATAAAAGTATATTTAAAAACTTTAATGTTAGGTGGGATTTATGACAATTAATTTCAGAAAAATGTGCGATTAATTAGTAATTTTTTTTTATTCGATTGACACCACTAATACATACACACACACACGTGCACAAACGCACACACACACACACACGTACACAAATGCACACAGACACACTCACACTCACACACACACACACGTAGATTTGTGGTTATGAAGCGTGTGTTTGTGTTTCAGGTGGTAATTCTCGTACGGCTATGATCGCTGCTCTCAGTCCTGCAGATATTAATTATGAGGAAACACTCAGCACTCTCAGGTACATAATCAATCAATCGATGAACCATCCATCTGTGTGACTCTTCAGTGCTTTATGTTGTGTGTGTTTGTGCAGATATGCTGACCGTGCGAAGCAGATCCGCTGTAATGCTGTAATTAACGAGGATCCAAACGCTCGTCTGATCAGAGAACTGAAGGAGGAAGTGAACCGACTCAGAGAACTGCTGCTGTCACAAGGACTGAGCCGACTGGTCACTGCTCCAGGTACACACACACACACACAGACAAAGACACAGACAAAGACACAGACACACACACACACAGACACACACACACAGACACAGACACAGACAC